AATAATCTCAGATTGCTTCTCAGAAGACAAAGACAATGGAAAGAGGACTGTGTATCACAGTGTGGGTATGACTGGGTATGAGTGTTTGGGACCTTATCTGTGGGTAAGGAGGGGAGGGTAGCAGTGCAAATGTGAAGGCTCTGACGACTTAGGCAGCCTGTTCACTGGCCCACTCCTAGTAGAAGAATCTCTCATGATCAGTTCCTCCAAACTGTCCTTCCTGGCCTGCCTGGCCTGTGCTGGATGGAGGAGGGCCAGAAAGCCAATCTCTGGGAGTTGAAAGGAAACATGGCATGTGGTTCCATCACTGGAAATAACCAAACCAAAAGGATATGAGCAAGGAAATGTACAGAGATGCATGTGCTTCTGTGAGACACTCAACCCAAGCTGGAATGGCACCATGCTTGGTGATTATAACCATTTGGGGACCAGAAAAAATGTGTAGTATATATTGTCTGTGTGTATCTAATGCAAGTCTTGGCTTGAGCTTTGATAACATCTGTCTAACCTATGTTGAATTAGCACACCAAATTTTGAATTAACACCCCAAATTTGTTAATATCTGTCTGGCCTATTTTAAATTAACACTCCAATATTTCCAAAAATACAGGTTCCTTGATATAGTAAGACCCCTAATGTTGCTCATCTCTCCCAGCAAAGCAGGTGGGGGCAAATGGGTATTAGCAGCAGACAAGTGTCATGAGTAAGCTTGGCCATCTGTGTGTCAGCCACATCTTTTCACCATATTCTCTACACACATTTCCAAGAGAATGTTGGTGCACAGGGGCAGGACCGCTACAATGAAATATATCTATTAAAATAGCAATTGCCCTGATTGCTGGAATAAAATAGCTTTGCCTCAAGGGAGAGAGTATTCATACGCATTAAGACAACCAGGCACAAGTTATAAAATAAAGCTATGAAAATAAGAATGTTCCAAAAAACAGAATTCTGCCCTTGGATTTCATTAGTGTTCCTGCTGACCTGAGGGCTTCCCACTAATGGTTTTCTAACAATATCCAAAGTACAGGGGACAAAGAATCATGAATATCTTTTCTATATTTAAGATGTTCCTTTCCTTTGTTGGAAAGAATAAGAATCTTGCTTTATTTGAGGTTTTAGTAGAGAGTGCGTAGCTGATTTTAATATCATGCCAGCATGGAAGACTGTTATTGAAGAGACTACACAAGTGTTTATACAACCCCTAATAGAATGACTTTAACTAGGTCAGTCAATGAATACCCATTTTGCCCTTTCTGCAACAGCATTATTGTCTGGAAATGCAAAAAGGGTTAAGATTGGCCCCTGCTTCTCAGAGGACAGCTACCCTAAAAGACTTATAAGAACTAAGATTATAACCACTGAAGAGAGTGCTAACCACTTCATCTCAGGGAGCAGAAGATATTGTCAGCAACAGCGTAAGATCTAATGGACAGAGAGGGGAAAGGTTAGCCAGATGTCTACGAAGAGAGCAGCATCCAAATTACCAGAAACATGGTGGCCAGAACCATCAAGAATCTGCTGCGACCCAGAAGACTGAGTTGAAAAAGTGGTCCCAAGAGGAAAGAGACGAGAGAAATTCAGTTCTAAGCAGGCTTCCTTTCCCATGCCAAGGAGTTTGGATTCACATCAAAGGCATCCTGGGATGTTTTTAATGTTCTTCGCTGGCTCATATCATTCTCCTGTGCCATCTCAGCTCACTTCTTCCATTGCTCTTATGACTAAAGGGACCTGGATAGAGGACCCCAGCATATGTAAGTGTGTTTTACTGCAGTTTTGTGACCAAATATGATCCATACCTGAAAACAGGCTTTGAAGCAGAGAAAAACCATGCTGGAGTCCCCTCACCATATTACCTGAGGCAGCAAAGCAAAACATGCACAGGATTATGACTTCCACCCAGTAGAATAGTAAGAACATCACCAGAGGAATATTTTGCCACCATACATCATCTATTTTCTAGGTTCACATGATTTAAAGGAAGGCAAGAGCTTTCTGGGTTTCTCAAAAAGCAATGAGAAATAAGACCCATTCACAAAGTATCCAGGTGTCTAGAGGATCAATAACTATCCTCTAGACACCTGGCCAAAACCAAACAAGTTTTTCTTCCCATTTCCTAAAAAGACTCTTCTATTTATGTGTCCCACCCAAACTAAACTGTCCAAAAGCTCAGACCTCCTCAAGACCAGTCTCTTCTCAGTCATCAAGGCAGGAGAGGGAAGATCATTGGTTTTGGAATTATCCTTTCCTGTTCTTATCCAACTAGGCTACTCATAAGTTAAATAACTTTTTAGAAGAACACAGACAAAATAATGATCAGAAAAGAAATGTAATTACAACATCAAAAGGTCTGGAAAATGCCAAGGAGACAAGGCAGGGAACATACAAGCTTTCGTCCTTGAGAAGCAGCTCTGAGTCTAAGGGTGTCAAGGTCAGGAAATTATATGCATTAATAAGTAAGTCTTACTGCTTCATGGTTATGTGAATTGTATGAGTTACTGTGTGGAAGCCACAAAGCATTTCACGCAATGTGCCACGAATGGAGAAAGTTCTTAATTCAAACCACCCCACATTAGTAACTTTCACTGTATAAGCCAAACTCTTCAATGCTGAGTGCAATGGCCAGTAGGCGTATGGGATCGGAAAAATTCTTGGTAGTAGTTGTTTCCTATTTTATGGTTCATCGTGTATACATAGAATGGAGTTTGATGTACAGTAGGTATTCTACAAAGTGAAAAGATGTGTTACACTATTAAAGAATTCTTCTCTGGAGAAAAGACCCAGATTTAAAGAAAAACTGCTAAATTTCCTTCCTACTATGTTTTTATGTAAATCAGTTATATTCACATAGGCTAAATGTAGGATCAATTTAATATCAGGCAATAAGCCTGAGAAGGAAAGATTGTTACCTTCTTGGGATGATATTTGGAATTTTGCATGTGTATATGTAACCATGCAGCCCAGTCCAAAAAATTCCATGGGAATAAGAGTGAGATAAGGGAGGAGTAGTTAACCAGATTGTAATTTACTGTTCCCTAAACTATCTAGGTTCAGAATAGTTAAAACAAATGAATAACACTATAGACCTCTTTTGCATCCTCCAACTAAAGACTTAGGAGACTGTAGGAAGTCCTGGGGAAGCAGAGTTAAATTTCATTTGCATCATTTCTTATAGTCTGTGGTTTTAACCAGCCATCAAGTTTGAATGATACTAATGATTGAAGTAATTTGGTAGTTGTCCATCTAGGGAAGAATAATTCCTCTGGCCCTAGGTATGGATATCAAATGTAAGAGAGAAAGAGTTAAATTGCAAGTGCTGATTCTGAAATTTCTCTTTTTGGTAGCTACTTTTTTTTTCTGTATTGGTGATTGAACTCGGTACCTTCCAACTGTGTCCCCAACCCTCCCCCTTTTTGAGACAAGGACTAGCTAAGTCATTAGGTTACCAAAGCTGGACTCAAATTTGTGATTGTCCTGCCTCATCCTCCCAGAGTACTGGGATAACAGAGAGTTGCTAGATTTCAGAGCAAATGAGAAAGGGGTCTACTCATTTTTGTCATTGTCCTAGAGATTCTTGGAAGTCTATAGCTAGGTATAAATTCCTCTTAGAAAACAATCTCTACTGAGTTTTTTGCTGAATCATAGCACTTTATTTTACTAGTGTGTACTTCTTGAATTATACCAGGTATCTACTTTCAAGATATTTTGTACATTGAATTGGTACCACTCAGCATTGTTCTCCAGAGTTTTATACGAAGAAGAAGCTGCCTCTAGGAAGATTTAACATAACTTCTCAAACCAAACTCCAAAGTAGGCTTTGCACCACCATGAGCTCATGTGGGTTATCACAGAAGCACTGCTGACCAACACAGCAACATCAACACCTGCACTCTTTGTGTGTGCTTGAAATTTCTGTGCCCAAGAGAAGCATCTAAATTTAACACAACAGATCTTGACTTTTGAAAAGGGGAAAGAAATAGAAACTTTTTTGGCCATTCATATTCTTCTCAGCATTTATGAAACTTTACTCCTTTACAAATTCCTGACACATATAGTGTTTTTTTTAGAGTCATGCAAAATATTTGTTTCAAGTCATAATTACTTTTGAAGCTAAGGCTGTTGGCTGTCCAAAGCTCACCTGCAGACATTGCCGGTGCCACCCACTCTGAGTGGAGTAAAGGTGGGTGGGAACAGATTTGAGCCAAACATGAGGTGATGAAACCATCAGCAAGTAAACCCATAGATCCCACCTCTGCTGGCTCAACCAACCTCAGACCAAAAATACTCAAAAACAGCCGTGTCTGTATGGACTTTTTCCTTTCATTATCCTCTCAGCAATGCTGTACAATGACTTTTACATACCATTTACAATGCATTAGGTATTACAAGAAATCTAGGGATTATTGAAATATGCTGGAGGATATGTGAAGGTTCTATATGCCTAGTTTACATAGAGATGATAAATTCATAGTCCAAGGGGGGGGGACTGTCCTAAAACCATCCTGGCAGATACCAAGGGCCAGGGATATTCTAAAAGTAAACTTGTATATTGGTGGAACAGCAGCAAGTCAGCTGAGGATTCTCCAGTGTTCCCCCAAATGAGCTATCATTTGTACCTACTGAGTTTCCCCACAAAATCTAACAACCTTAAACACTAGAATCAGGAATGCTAGCCCAAATCAACCTATCCTGACCTTACAGCCAATACATAGAGTAATAAGGTATAATCTGCATGGCACTGGCCATCACCATGGTAATGACCAGGGAGGGTTTATTTTCTGGTTAGGTGTTATTTTGGGGGAAGTCTTTAATAATCTTTGTGCAAAGAGGAACTGCAAGATCAAGGGCAAAGTTTTCTGGGATTTTCATAGGAGACACTAGCAAAACAAGTCCATCTGAAATGGAGGTTTCACTTAAGAAAACAAGAATGTTGTGTGAAGAAAGGTATCAGATTATCTGAGATTAGTAACACACTTGACTCTTCATTTCTCTCTGTACAGCCAGTGCTGATTTTCCATATAACCCAGGACAAGGCCAAGCCATAAGAAATGGAGTCAACAGAAATTCTGCCATCATTGGAGGTAGGTGATGTATGAAATAGGCTTTCATGTGGCTACTCACTTGTGACAAGTAATGATTTTCAATCACACAGTAGTCTTGGGGACGAAAGAACTGTCTGTATTCTTAGGTGATTCATCTCACTGTTGAAATACAATGTAAGACTGTGAAGCACAATGTTAGGAACCTGTGATTAGTGGAACCTGGCTGCCTGTTAATGCTGATCATCGTAAACCAGACGGAGTCTGAATATTTAGGCTGGCAGTAGTGGCAACAGCTAGGACATTTCTTTATCACCTCCACCTTTCACTAGCACCTTCTCCTACCCCAAGTGATCCAAAATGACTTAAAGATGGAGACGAATTTTGCAGTCTGGTTTTAGGTATCTTAGTAAATTGATCAGGAAGTAAGTAAGCCAGAGCACTTGAAATATTCACGTTGTTTCTTCTCATCATAGATAGCTGGAGAAAAGTTTGACTCTCCTACTAGAGTTCCTCATGTCTGGATCAGTGTAGGAGCCCTGTCACCTGTGGACCATTTCTGTCTAAATTCAGAAAAATGACTCTTGTCTCTCTGAGTGTAGCTAATACTGTGAACATAATAATTTTAAACTCATAATAATTTTAAACATCGACATGGCTTAGCCAATATGTTTGTTGCTCGTGGGAAGAAAATAGATACCTATAAGAAATACATAAGACTGTAAAATTAAAGTGTATTCATAAGATGTTTTCATCACATTGGCCAAAGTTCAAGTACAGTCTCAAGAAGGACTCTGTCCGGTTGCTTTCTGCTTTTCTAAAAATCAACTTAGTTAAAATGTGCTACACAACAGATAAGTGAGTTTGGACAAGAGCATCACCCATAACCACCCCTACGATGTGCAGAACCATCCCATCAGACCAGAAAGACCTCATTTGCATTTTGGGAGCTCATCCTGCCTTGCCTCGCTCCCAACCAAGGCAACCTTTAATCTGCTTTTGTCACTGTAGATTAGTTCTGCCTCCTTTAGAGTCAAAGCTGGAATCACATAGTATATTATGGCATGTGCTCCTGTTTGCCCCACATGTTTCTGAGCTCTGGTAACACTGATACCTCTATCAGTAATCCATTTATTTTTCCTGCCAAGTTTCATTCCATTGAATGGACACACTATAATTTGCTTTATCCACTTACTTGTTGATAACTTGTTGGTTTGTTTCCAGATTTGGGCTATTTGTGAAAGTCTCTTGCGAACAAAAATTTTAATTGCTCTTTGTAATTCCTGATGTTATAGAGAGGGGATGTTAACCTTTATTCAAAACTGCCATATGGTTTTCCAAAATGATTGAGCCATTTTTCCATCCCACCATCCATATCTGAGAGGTCAAGTTGCTCCACAGTCTCATCAGCTCTTGGTATTGTTAATCTTCTTGTTCAGCCATTCTCGTGACTGAGTAGTGAGTAATACATGTATCTCTGTGCTTTTAATGTGCATTATCTGATCACTGGTAATGTTAAGCATAACTTAACTTTATGTGCTTATTGCAATATATGTGAAGTCACTATTTAAATCTTTCTCCATTTTTTAAAATAAGATTTGTTTGACTCTTGGTAATAAATTATAAGAGCTCTTTTTTTTTTTTTTTTTAATTTTTATTTAAGGAGAAAAGAAAAGAAAGAAAAAAAAAACAGTGAAGGGGTACAAGTTATACAGATTTACAGAATAAAAAAATGCGCAGTAGGAAATCACTAGTTAATGGATTACATATTGCCATCTTAGAAATAATTGTTCAAGTCACAAAATTAAAGCTTGTAGAGTGGACATTCCACCAATGATACTGCAAACAGTTCCGTTCAATGATCCAATAAAACTCTGTGATATCATTTTCTATCTTATACTTTTAAATATACATGCAGTTATATAGTTTAGAGCACTTTCTTTTCCTCTCTTTTGTACAGTGACTATTACACATTTTGGGTTTCATTGCTCCCACGGTTCTTGTTGCTTTTTTGGAAGAGAGTAAAACCAAATGTGACATAATAGAACAGAATCGGTCAAGTCAAAAGGGTGGACATAATAGATAATATAAAAACATATTACAAGGTGATCAACAATGGTTACCCTAATGCCTCCCGCTATTTCTAATAGAATTGCCTATATCATTAGTTGTAATACAATTGAACAAAACCGTAAAGAATAAAACCGACAAAACTAAAACATTGGAGACATTGTAGGTCTTCAAAAGTAGATAAAAGTTAACGAGAATGGGCGTTGTAATGAATCTCATTATCTTCTCAGCTGATGCCTAAACTTTCGAACCTGATACTATCCAGCAAAACAGAATATAGGAACCTCAGTCAAAAACAAGATGGTGAGAGCAATACAGGGCTTCAAATCGAGATAATAGAAAGTCGAAGTGGGTTACTATATTATATCCTGCTATATTTTTCCCTGTAATTAAATGGGTAAAAATAAAAAAGTAAATAATGGAGTGGAGATTGAGAAAAAAAAGGGCATAACAGCGAAACAGGGCAGATCAAAACATAACCATTTAAGCAGAACAGTGTTTCACCACCAGCTAATCCTGACCCAAAAATAGTTACCATATTGACTCCCTCCCTGAAGTCCTTGAGTACAACTTCATACACTGTAGCATTAAGTATATCAAAACAATGTATATCCATTTAAGAGAATAACAGCATTACAGAGCTTTTAGAATCGACCAACAGAAAATGAACAATGGTCTCTGTATAATCTCCTTGTCTTTAAAAGGTTTTTTCTTATATTATCGTACATAGTAAAATCCAATAAGATACAACCTGTTTAGACCATTGGAGACAGAAGAACAAAAGCTAGATGAGACCTCAAAACAAGATGGTACTAAATCAGCATTACCTATTAAGATGTCATTTTCTCCAAAAAAAGCTGTTCCTATCATCCAATCTTCTCTGTCTCATTTCTGTTGAGCTCTTTTTCTGTCAGTAGCTGTCAGTTTGTCTTCTTCGTTTTGGTCTCTGCTCTATTCGTTGTGGCCTCCCCGCCCCTATTTCTGGGTTCTTTGTATTTTTCTTTTTATTTTTCTTTTTTTAGAATATCCTGCAATACTTTCTGTAGGGTTGGATTGGTGGTTGCAAATTCCCCCAGTTCCTCTTTATCTTGGAAGCACCTCGTTTTTCCATCAATTTCCAGGGACAGTTGTGCAGGATATCTCAATCTTGGCTGTAGATTATTATCTTTCAAAGCTTGAATTATTTCTCCCCATGCTCTTCGTGATTTGATGGTTTGTGAAGAGAAATCTGCTGTAATTTTGATGGGTCTTCCCTTGTAAGTGATCTGTTTCTTGTCTCTTACAGCTTTTAATATTCTGTTCTTGTATTGAATTTCTGGAATTTTTATTATTATATGCCTGGGTGTTTCTCTGTTAGGGTTGTAGGTAGCTGGGGTCCTGTATGCCTCATACATTTGAGTATCTTTACCTTTTGCTAAATTAGGAAAATTCTCCTGGATTATTTCTGTGAGTAGCTTTTGTAGTTCACTTGTTTGTGTCCCTACTTCTTCTTTTATGTTCTTAATCCTTAAGTTATGGCTCCTCTTATCATCTTCTTGTCTTTGTATTATTGCTGTGTGTTTCTTTGTTATTTTTAAGAAGTTTTTCATTTCATTCTCCCATGTTTCAAGTCTGCCCTCCAATTCAGATAGTCTGTCCTTAGTTTCTTTCAAGCTGTTATGCCAGTCTTGGGTATATTTCTTGATTTCTTGATAGTCCCTTTGCACCTGCTTCACATACTCAATGCTTTCTCTGTTTTCTCCATCAAGCAATTCTCCCCTCTTTTTCTGTTCTTCCACTCCACCATCTGCTTTTTCCTGGGTGGTGCTTAGCATTTCTCTAACTATTCTGCATACTTCTAGCTTCAGGTCATTGATAACTTCATTCCTGAATTGGTCTATGAGGCTCTCTAAATGGCGCTTAATGTATATTGGTACAGTGTCCACTATTGCCTGATTCTCAGGATTGGGGGTCGAGGAGCCTTTTTTGTTGCTTCCCTTCCCCATATTTTCTGTTCCTTATAAAATGTAATCTTACACAGGAGGCCCGGCTTCCCTGCCTGTCAGCTACAGCTTGATCGAATTGCGCTGGCTAGTTGTTCCCGCTCACCGCTGCGCCCCAGGGAGTTGCGGAGGAAGCAGCCTACGCGGAAGTCGGTGGCTCCTCCGGGCCACCGTCAGGCTCTGGGATCTGGGCTAGGCCAGCCTAGGGAGTCCGCGAGCAGCGTCCCTCCGGCCAGGCACCTTTCACCAATCCCGTCCGAGAGGGAAATGCGCGGCTGCAGTTGCCGCCGCGCCCTGCTCTTACAGGACTGCCCGCGCCCAGAAAATCCTCCGCTGGAGTCAGACTGCGGTAGGGAGTCAGTTCCTCGCTCACCTCGCCACCAGTCAGCCTTCCTTCCTGCCCGTCGCGTTTCCGAGACCGTTCCCAGACGCCCGTTCCCAGAGCTCGGGGGTCGCGTCTCTCCTTGCCGAGCCGCTGTGGAGGTGGCCGGCCGCCGCGCGGCGGGAAATCCAAACCGCGGTTTCCGATGGCGCGGAGTCAAGTCTCCACACCGAGATTTTTCTGTTCCTATTTTAGCGCCAGGGCTGTATTCCAAGTTGGATTCTCTCAGCCCAGTTCGTTCCTGAGTCAGCAGAGCATATCTCTACTGGTTCGTATCTCCTTAGTCCGCATCATTCCTGGCCTCTGAGCCGAGCCTTTAGAGAGCGTTCAGCAGTTGCTGTTGTCTGTCCGCCATGTTCTCAGGAATCCTATAAGAGCTCTTTTAATATTTTGGATACAAATCCTTTGTCAGAAATACGTATTATAAGTATTTCTTCCCAACCTGTGGCTTATTAACAAATTTGACTTGGAATGTCCAGGTTCTGTACCTTCTTACTGATTTTCTGTTTCATTGTGCTATCAGTTACAAACAGAAAGGTGTTGAAATGTCCAACTATAAATGTGAACTGGCCAAACTCTATTAGGCTGTCAATTTTTGCTTCACTTATTCCGTAGTTCTATCAGAGGCCCACACCTTTAGAGCTATGATCTCCTCAGGATGAATTGACATTTTGCCATTATGAAGTGTCCTTTATTGCATCGAATAATTTTATCCTTTATCTCTTACTAATACAGCTACTCTAGCTTACTTATGAGTGGTGTTTGCATAAGTTCTTATTTACCAGTTCCATTATCGCTGTCACTTCTGAATATCCTTCTAATTAACCAGTTTTTCTCCTAGTTGAGTGACAGTTTCCTACTTTTCTTCTCTTTGTGTATTTGGTGATTTTTTTTTTTTTTTTTGGATGCTAAGCATCATTAATGTCCCACTGAGACTGGAGGTTTGATTGCCTTCCTTTAATGAGTACTGAGAGGTTTGTTCTGAGAAGCAATTAAGTTTCTTACATTTTGGATCTTTTAGTCTTCTTTTAAAAGTACTTGGGGTTAAATCCTGAACAGCTGTCACTCATGGCCTACTTTTACAAAACGTTCCGTGAGGTCTCACCACTGTGGTTGCTTAGAATGTGAACATCTCCCACCTCTCTGTGAGCTCTGGAAATGTTCTATACCCGTGGAATTTCATCCTGTACATGCACATAATAGCATTCAGTCACAGACTCCAAGAGACAGATTATTAAAGTTCTTTCTATGTATTATTAAAGTTCTTTCTAAGTTCTTTCTATTAAAGTTCTTTCTATGAATTGGTAAATAACTTTCTCCCTTTCTCTGTCCACTTTCTCCCATCCCTCCCCCTCCTCCTGGCTTAGGGAGCACTCTCACTGTGAATTATTTTTCCTATCCCTCCCTACACAGCTGTCCAGAAATTGCTACCATTTAGAAAACTATAGAAAGTATTCAACTCACCATGTGTCTGTTCTACCTACTGTCCAGTGTCTGAGAGCTGACCTCTCACACATTTTGTCCAGTATTTTAGTTTCTTTGGGCAGGAAGACAAGTTTCTCCGATGCCTGCTACCTGTTTGTGGCCAGAGCAGAAACCTCCCTTAGATCTCTGTTGCCTGGGTGGTGGTTGCTTTGGGTGGGATTGAACCACGGTGAGGGAGTGTGGGGGAGGTGTCACACAGGACCTATGCAAGACCTGTTTAACCCTCTGTCCTCCCCTTGTGCGCAGGGGTCATCGCTGTGGTAATCTTCACCATCCTGTGCACCTTGGTCTTCCTCATCCGGTACATGTTCCGTCACAAGGGCACCTACCACACCAACGAGGCCAAGGGCGCAGAGTCTGCAGAGAGCGCGGACGCTGCCATCATGAACAACGACCCCAACTTCACAGAGACCATTGACGAAAGCAAAAAGGAATGGCTCATTTGAGGGGTGGCTGCTGGCCGCTGGATGGGGAGGGGGATCCCAGGGAGGAGGGAAAAGCGACAAGAGCACCCCGCTTCATACTCCTGAGCACATCCTTCAAGTATCAGCACAAGCTGGGGGTGGCAAACACCGGAATACTCCTGAGACTGATCACCACAAACAAAAATAATAACTTTTTAATATTTCTTTATAGCTGAGTTCCCCTCCTTCCGTATCAAAGCAAAATAATATAAAACATGCTTTTAGAGTCCAAGCAACGGTTGAAATTTGTAGGTAATATCTGTCTTCTTTTGTGCGTGTTTAGAGGTGTTTGGGAAACCCATGGTAATAGGGCAAGTTTTCTACATTTTTAAGAGCCCTTAGAATGTGGATATTTTTTCTCGAGAAAAGCTGAAGTGCATCCATACAGCCTCCAACATTCTCTTCCTTTTGCATAGAGTCAACTTTTAACAGGCTATTGTAGTGTTTAGTTTGTGTTCATAGATTTTTTTTTTTTTTGGTGTCCTATAAATTGGAAAAGAGAAGGAAGGGCCGAGAAGAAACTATCTGCAGTTTGCAAAGAGACCTGGAGCAGGGCTTGACACCGGCTGTTGAAGAAAGAGTGTGCACTGACATCTGTCACAGCAGTGTGACCAACTCAGCTGGAGAGAAGCACTAAAGGTCCAGGAGAAGTAACATATATATCCATATATATTGGGGTTGTTGATTTTCCTTTTTTCACTGAATTCTAGACTGCTGTTCCATGTATGTAGTCTTAGCTCTCTTCAATATCTGTAACTATCAGCTACAATGCCGTGCTGACCAACTGTTAGGAAACACTTTTCCTGTTTTATCTGTGGGACATGGGATGACTTTATATATGTATGTGCACCTCAATAGAGAATGAGAGCCAGACAATATGATTTTTTTCCTGTCTCTTTTATAGTTGTAGCCAGTGTACAGACACTCCCCGGTGTGTGCACAAGTTAGGTCACACTTGTTGTTTTGCTTTAAATCTCAAATTTTTATGCCCCTGATATAAAATCCTAGCAGACTGTCCTCTAAATGTCACACTATAATAAAGCCGCATGATTATGGGTACTGGTCTGGAATCCTATGGGACACTGCTGTACTTTAAATCAGCTGCCCACGTGTCGTTCCACCAATAAACACACTGCCATGATTCAGAGGTCTTCTGTGACAGACACTTTTGAATCTCAACTTCATCGCAAACATGGCAATTGGTTGTTGCTTCTCAAGGAACAGACATTCTAATCAGTCACCTCCTAGCTTAATCAGGAGCCTCGGACAATTTATTGCAACAAAGAATTCACCAATCTTATTTAAAAATAATGGAACCCATGTAAACAAATGAAGACATTGCTTCCTATTGAGCTATCCAAAAAAGAATTTATTTCATCATTGTTTTAAAAAAAAGATTATGCAAAAGCAAAATTTATTTGTAGAATGAGCACTATTTATGATCATTATACACCAGGCCTCCTATACTTAAAAACTTTTTTAAAATTTTGTAGACACCAACATGTTGAAGAATTCTGTATGATCAATTCTTTCTTTCTCTTCTTGGAAGGGATGAGATTAGGTTAGCAAGCTATGGATGTTATTTTTCTGATGGTCTGGCTCAATAAAATGTGCATTCTGATGTGCGAGGATTACATATACACACTTTGCAAGAGTTTCTGTATGTCCAATTTATGGGAGGATCTCAGTTTCCTGGTACTGGAAAGCCTTTCCCAGACTCACCAATGGCCCCGTGCACCCATAGCTGGCATGTTCCAAAGGAGACAGTGGACAAATTCGCTCCCCCTGAGTCAAAGTAACAGGACAAAAGAGAATCCTGACACCATTTCCCAGTAGTTGGTTCGCTTCAAACACTCTCAAGAACATCTTCAGTCTTAAAAAGTCTTGATCATTCTCCCACAAAACACATAAAACTGGAGAAATATTCAGTGACTAAATATCAGAATAATGTAATATCTACAAATGACGTACTGAAAGCAAAAGCTATTTCATCTCACCAAGGCAACAAATTTTAAGATTATGGATTTTTGATGTCTTCAAACCTACTTTACAGTATACTTTCATGCTTAACAAATAATACCAGATGGAAATTTATCGTTTTCTACATTGCCCATGATAGCTGTAATTCTATCTGCATTATCTCTGGTCTTTTTCTTTCTTTCCAAAATGATTAGGGGATTACAGCCATCAAAAATAAGCCCTGGTTTGGAAATGTTCTCACCTTTTCTTTCTCTCTCTTTTTTTTTTTAATTTTAAAGAGATTAAGACAAAACAGGACATAACAGAGTAGATCAGAACAGAACAATTTAAGCAAAACAGTATTTCACCAGAAGACAACCCATAATTAACAGTAACTACCACAATGTCTCTTTCTTTGAAATAGTTGAGTATAACTTAATATACAATAGTATCAAACATAATAAAATAGTATAAAAACATTCAAGATAATGAGAGTATTACAGGGTTTTCAGAACCACATAACAGAAAACAAACAATGGCTACTATATTATCTCATTTTCCATAGGAAATTTGTTTATACTTTCACACGTAATACAATCCAATAAGGTACAACATGATAGAGCCAATGCAAACAGAAGAGCAAGAGCATGGTAGGACTTCAGAGTAAGATGATATAATATCATCTCACCTTTTCTTTCTCATCCCTCTCTTCTTTACTCCTTCCCACCACAAATGATACAAAGACACAACCTTTCTCTCGCCAAACGTGCACAGCCCCAACACTGACTGACCTCAGGTGTCAGCTCTGCTTCCCCGTCACCATCAAATAAGACACAGAGACAGCGACAATGGCAGTTTCTCCCCCTGAAGGGGTTACAATGTAGGCCCCTGACAGGACATAAACAATGAGATAGGGTGGTAACTAAATTAACTGCCAAGGGGTCCTCTTTTGGGGACCTTGGGCTTCACCAAAATTTCCACATCTGTTTACAAAGGCCATATGCAATGCCCCATAAGTGGTAAATAATTTAATTATGTGAAGAAGATGACATTACCCAATTTTCTAATTCTCCAACACTATATGACCCAACTGTATCACTTAGATCCCCCCAAATCTTGAGCCTTTATATCCCAATCAACTAAGCACACATGGGCTAGTGGAGATAACTTTTTTTAAAACCAAAAAGAGGTTTTAAAACTTCAGTGAACATTAATGGCTCGTTTAGGGTTTGTATGCCAGAGACATCCTCTCTGTTAAAGCAAGCATCGATGTTTTTTCCAAGAAACTAGGAGGAACCAGGCATGATGGCACAGGCCTGTAATCCCAGCACTCAGAAGGCTGAGGCAGGAGGATCACTGCAAGTTTGAGACCAATCTGGGCTACAAAGTAAGCTCAAGGCCAACCTAAACTGCATAGTGAGACCCTATCTCAGAAAGCCAAAAGAAAGAAAGAAAGAAAGAAAGAAAGAAAGAAAGAAAGAAAGAAAGAAAGAAAGAAAGAAAAAAGAAAAGAAACCAGGATGAGGGAACTTGGAATGAATGAAAGTTCATATCACTCTGTGTTCTCAAAATGCATATTCTGTAGAGGTCAAAGACACTAGCCCTGGACATAGAAGTTATTTTACTATTGAATTATGCTCTAGCTCATCTTATTATTTAAGAATACATTTCTCTCACTTTCAACCAACTGCTTAGAAAAAGGAGTTACTACGAAAGTTTTTAATGGAGAGCTGGGAACAATGGTTTAGAGGGCTGTGGGTAGAAAGTTTCCTCTTGTGTTGCACTGATGAAAAAGCATATCCTGCTAACAGGGGCAGGAATTCAAGGGCAGCAGAGGAATTACTGGCCTGAGCTGAGGAGTGGACCTTAAATTCTTGTGGAACATCTGTCAAGCAGCTGCCAAGCAGGCTGAGCGCAAACTCCAGAGAGTACTTCAGGAAGCCCATAAAATATGAAGTCTTCAGGAAGGGCCAGGAGGAAATTTCTGTTTCCTTCTGCGATACGATCTGTTCTTTCCCCGTCTTCTTCTTCTCCTCCCTCTACCACACCATCACCTTCTTCAGGGTTCATGGTCCTTTTTCATCACGCCTTCAACCAGCTAACACCAGATGTGAACCTCGTAACATTTTGCTTTTTCTTTTCCCATGCCATCAAGTAGTTTCAAAAAGAAAGGCAGCAGTTATTAAAGTGAATTGGAGTCAGCCAGTCAATAATAGGTCCTCAAAATGCTCTTCCCAGGAGAACCACCAGGCCTCGAAATAGGTGAGAACTGTGTCCACAGCGGATTCGGGCTAAAACATCAATAAGCCCTCTTTTAAAATGACATTTTGATGGCAGTGGACCCCAAGAGTCAGCTGGCAGAGCCCCAAGGCTTTCTCCCTCCCAGACATTCAGAGATCCTGGCCAAATTAACTTCAGTCCCCTTTCCCCTGGTGTTTAAGCTAAAGCCATTTTGCCTATATTATACGACAGCTTTGCCGTGCCACTGACTCCTAACTACAGAGTACTTCAAAATCCAAATACAAAAGCCAAGGTCAGAGGAATCGGGAGAAGACTGCCCTTCCAGCTTGCAGGTGTACGTCACATCCAAAGAAAACAGTGTGGTCATGCCCAGGAGCATGGACACTTACAGAGCATTGCTAAATTATTCACTGGGTAGACCTCCCGGGAGCCAATCTGAGAAATTAGCATGCAATTTGTGTGCATAAAGCCCTGAATTCCCACCTGGACATGGCCTGAAGCTCACCTTACCTACTCTTACACATGCCCTCAGTGCAATTAGACAGACTTGTAGACAAGCCAACACGAAGTATGAAAGTGACATTCTCATGTGGCCTGGTGGTCCCGTGCCTGCATTACTGTTTCACCCTGTATGGTGATGTTGGAAACTCTAAAGTGAGTTTCCAATACAGCAGTACTTAAACTCATCCTCCCAGAAGTAGAAGAACCATGGTGAGAGATCATAAAGATCTAAATAGGCACAGCTATGGTAACATAGAACCTGCATTTACAAATTTAGCTTTCAGGTTAATGTGTGTGGTAAAGATGGGCCTGCTGATGGGGTCTCCACCATTTCTAGGGCTCAGATAGTTTACATGAGAGTCCTTCTGGCTTTCAGCAGACTGAAAAATGGAAGTTCCACCCAAGCAAGCCAAGAAATACTTCTCAAGATCACTGACTCAAAGTTTTATTTTACTAGTTTTTCTAATTTTCTCAGTTAGCATGGCGACTGCAGGGAAGGTTAGAGCTGGGGAAGCCAGGCCAGCTATTTTCCTGTAAATTGGGGGAGGACTCCATCCCTGTGAAATGACACAAGACTTCACTCTCTAAAAGCAACAGCATGTAAACTAGAATGAAAGAGGGAAATTATGTATGTATGCCTATTATTCTTTGTGAATGTCTTTCATTTATCTAAAATTATATTAGAAGCCAGATTGATAAAATAAAAAATTCAAAATAGTTTTAATTATCCTAAAAGTGATTCCTTGTGTTTTGTATCACTTGAGTTGCTTAGAAGTCATTTTCCACCTTCAGCCAAGGTCAGCTCCATGCGCTGAAGCAGACTCCAGCTGGGAACAGAATCTTCCTAAAAGCTTCAGGGACAGGGTCCATCCTCAGAGACGGCTCTTATTTGGGGACATCCAGGGAATTTTTTTTCTTTTTTTTGCCACATATGTTCTCACAATCCCATTCTTCTTAAAGCAGTTTAATAGACACTGACATCATCTTTTGGATTAATTTACACACAGTTTGATTAACTGTGAATAAAGTGACCTGCAGGATACATCGCGATCTATGTTCAGAAATGAGGAGTTACGCTGGGCAAAAGGATCCAGGCCAATAGGCTAGAGAAGAAGGTCTCAGGATGCATTGGGGGTAGAAAGCTTTCCAAGTGTGTCCTCTTATACATTAAGAGCTATGCTCTTAATCCTGCTTTCTGATCTTTCATTACCACCAGGGAGCCACTTCCCTTTAATCAAGTCTCATTGTGGTATCCAGATGTAAGGAAGTGTGAGTTCCAGTAATCTCTATCAGTCCCTCAGATCAATCAATAGTAGCACTCCAGCATATTTAGGAAGTGTTGGTGCTGAGATTATTTGTTGTGATGCTGCTTTGCAAATGCAATCCAACAGGTGCCGAGAGAGTGAGGTGAAGTCCCTTGAGAAAAGGAAATACACACAATAGAAGTTGATAAATTTCAGAATTATGGACTGACAGGTTGAGGACTTAATACCTTCAACAAGAGCTTTTAAGCCACAACACATGCACTATCTTTTCCAATGCCACTAACCACAAACCATGTGTACTAGGAAATTGCTAAGATCCACGACAGTGATGTTATTATGCACAAGGTGGGCAGTAGCAGAGAGCTGCAGGGAGAGAGGTACATTAAAGAAATACATATAATTTCACACTTTGTCAATAGGATGTGGCCTGATGGGTCATCAGAGTGCAGAAAAGAAGAAATTGTGCTGTTATTTTTCGAGAAAAGGTTCATGTCCTACCAAACAAGTCTATGGCTGAAAGCTAAGTATTATACAAGAAATCCTTATCATAGGCACACATACTCCTGAAGCCACAAATTCATTGCGTCCCTGTATGTTCAATCTCTTCTCTGCCAGGAGTCCCTCCTCCCCAAAATACAAAATTCTGCAAAGATCTGAGGCTCGAGGAATTTTGCCAGAGTAAGAATGTAAGTTTTATTCTCCGCTCATGGGTTCACAGTCTTTCCAATAATCTTCATGTATCTTCTGTGGGTACAGAAGATAAACAAATCTCATGGGACACTCAGTAAATCAATTCTCATGTCAATTCTTCACCAAAGAAAGGCAACAAATTTTTAAATTCTCTGGCCTAAAGCTGAGAAAGCCATTTCCTCTAAAATCATGAACTCAGAATTATAAGATTTAAGTGCCAATAGGACAGAATGAAAACAGAGATGAGTCGAGCGTGGTGGTGCACACCTATAATCTGAGAATATGGGAGGGTGAGGCAGGAGAATCACCATAAATTCAAGAGCAGCCTGGGCTACAGTGAGTTCAGGCCAGCCTGAACTATATAATGAGATCCTGTCTCAAAAAAAAAGTAAAAAAAGAAAAAACAGAGACGCAAACTTATTTTGTGTACATAAATGGAGAGTTGGAAGATAAAATTTTAAATCGAGGAAGACAACAGATAGAATAATAGAGTCAATTTTTATGTCATGAAAAGGTGAGAAAGGGGGAGTGAAAACTTGCCTCCTAAAACCTACTATTAGGACCAACCTCTGAAGCCAGAAAGAAAGCATATTCAGGTACAAATAAAGGCAAAAAAATCTCTCCTTACAGCTAGGTAAGAAGTGCTACAGGTAAGTAAGTACACACATATATAATGATCTTCCAAAAATAATTGGGATTATTTCTACAGTTACTTCATCACATGAATTTTAAAGGACACCCACGATAATAGTCATTTAATAAATGTTTACAGCCAAATGTGGTGGCACATGCCTGTAGGAGTACTCTGGGAGGCTGAAACATGAAGATCACAAATTTAACCCCAGCCTGAATAATTCAGCAAGACCCTGTCTCAAAAGAAAGAAAAAACATTTTAAAAGCCTAGATATAGCTCAATGTGGGGACCCTGAGCTCAATCTGCAGTAACAGCTCCTGTTCTGGCCACAGACAGAATAACATACATCAAATATGAAATATTATGTTTAACTAGTGTCTCATGGAGCCAGAACAGCACTTTTGCTGGGGGAGGAATAGTTCTGAAGCTGGGCCCATGGGCAGATGTCGCTCATTATTTACCTCGTTGCAAATAAAATGCTCCTGACTCAGTCACAGATCTTGTTAGACGCACACTCTGGGCTTTGTTAAAAATAAGAGAAGCTGCTCCGATTCATTGCTGAGTGATCAAGTTATCACTCCTCTAAATTAAACGTACGAGGCTCCTTCACTTTTATTCCAGGCAGCGAGCAAAGCTTTTGCTTTCAGTCATTACAGACCTAACAGATATATTGATGACTGCCAGGCCTGTCACTGCAATCTCAGCTTAAGCCCTGCTGGAGAAAACTCTGAAGTTTAATTAGTGTCCCCGTCTGGTGTTGTAAAATAGAAGTCCAAGACATATGGGGAAGGAAAATGAGTCAGTATGAATCATCTTAAAAACACAAAACCCACAGAGAGAGCAAAGCCAAAACCAAATTGGTCCTGCAGCAAAGTTCCTGGACTCGGCACCTTGTGTACTGTGTGATTGGTCTGAGGGGGAAATATTTGTTTATTATTTCCAAGAAGATGACTATTTTTGGGGACAAGTGAGGACAAAGAACAAGTGGCAGGCACTGGGTCATGTGATGATGCTGGAACCATGGACTCTCACAAGGGCCTTCCCTGAACATGAGCACCAACAGAAGCCCCAAGGGGCATGTCCCGGAGACGGCACCTGCTCTGAAAGTACAGGAGCAGACCACAGATGCTAAGTCCTTTACAGATGCCTCCAGCCTGTTAAAAAAAGTGACTTCACTTCCTGTTCTGCCCAGAAGTAGGGTGACCATTTTGATTCAGAAGGTCCATTTTTAACAACCCAACCCCCACAGCCAGTCTTCCAGAAGATTCCATGGTCTTAGACCTGTACCCACAGGGGATGGCTGTTGTGACAGCTGAGGCTGTCCTCGAGCCCCATGCCAATCACTGGTCTGTACTTGACCCAGCCACAAGCCCACAGCTGCTATATGAACAGCACCCCCACGCACTTCTGGGCTGGTCTTTGAAGGCACCCTTCAGTGTGCTTAGCCCAAGTGATAGAGCACAGGCACTGTTAAAATGAAGACTTGCTTTGTTGTCCGGTAAACCTGCTCATGACTGATTTCTCAGAAAAGCTCCAGATCCCGGCAACCAACAAATATTAGCTGCAGAGACCAGTCAACCTATGGTATCCAGCACAAGCACTGGAAGGCAGTGGAAGGCTAGCAAGAGGTAGTGACCAGCAGCCACTTAGTCAGCTGTTAGCATCCAGGACTATCCAGGGACATCTGGCGACATAGGGACTGTTAGCAGAGCTGTACTTTGCCAGTTCATGATTTCTGTCTGAACCAAGCAAAAGAACCCTAGGCTGACTAGCGACCACTACACTGCTATCCAGTAAACCCAGGCATGGGCCTGTGGTCACCAAACTATGATCAAAGTTCAGGCAGGAGAACAGGCCCCAGCCTCCTTGGGCTCTGCTCTTGGCCCTCTCCTCACTTCCCCTCCTGTAGTCCCTGGTTGCTCTCTGGGGGAACCTGCAGCTTCCTTCACTTGGTGATAGCCAGGCCCAGCTACAGCATTTACAGAGCCTGGCCCTCAATGAAAAAGTGACCTAGAAAAGGAGCAAGAGTGGATTTCCCCCCTTTCCAGGACCTGCCACCCCACCCACCAGCCACAGAGACGTATAGTACTCAATTGCTCCCTCATCTGAAAACACACATACAGAGACACAATTAGGAAGAATTTCAAGAGAACAAGCCTTAAGCCCCAAGTACAGAGCCTCTCTAGGCACAAGGGCACAGCTCAACAAACTGCAGGTAACCATGGGTCACCAGGAACGTCCAGGCCAGCATCCTTCCCTCCACCTCCCTCCACAGCTGCATCTGTGGGATTTGTCCTGGACCTGCTATCCTGAGGAGAAGGCCCCTGCTAAGGGCAGGACCCTGAGCTGGAAGTCTGTTAAGGGGTGAGGAGTCTGGGCTGGGAGTGGGGAGGATTCATGTTCTTGGTGTCCTAAACAAAGAACCAAGTAGGACACTCAGAAAAAGTAGGAAGAGTAAGATTTATTTTAAAAGGGTAGTGAGAGTAAGCAAAAAAAATTAAGAGTTCATAGCCTGATAGGGCCAGGTACTGGTCTAAGGTCCCGGGATTATGGGGCATCTACAGTTGGGCAAGAGTCATGAACCAGTGGGGTACGTGACTTAGCTTGCCTGTCCAGAAGGGAAGTTTGTTTGTTTGTTTGTTTGTTTGTTTGTTTTGTTTGTTTTATAGGGGATAAAACTAAGGAAAATAAAACAGAATAAAACCATTGAAATAAACCAGTATAAGTGATACAGGACTTCAAAACCTTACAAAATCAACAACAGTTACCATAATGCCTTGTGTTGTCTTCAAAATAGCTGCAGATACCTTTAGACATAGTAAAAATCAAACAGAACAGAATAGAAACAATAAAAACAAAACAATGAATGCAATAAAGGACTTCAAAACAAGCCAGTAGTAAATCCAAACTGGCTACCATAATATGTCTTGCTATCTTTTAAATAGCTGCTCCTGCCTTCGGATTTAACATAATCAAACAAAACAAATGAGAATAAAATCCAACCCAACAGAACAATGAAAATGATATGGTTTTCCAGGTGGGAATCATCCCTTTGTGAGGCCTGGTTCTCTCCCCCCACAGTCTGTGAAAGGTGCTGACTCACAAAGAGAGGCCTGGGTCCGGCTGTCCCCACTCTGGTAGTGGCC